TGGGAATGTTGTTAGTGCCAGATGGGTAGGTCTGAGTTTTTCATATACTTATAATCTACTGCATTTTTCTGATCGACTGGGCCACAGCCATGAGAACGATAAAACTAACCAATGAAAGGCAGTTCTGTTGATTAAAAAAAGTCTGTAAGAGAGAATGGCCAGACTGGGTTAATTAGCAACAGTAACTCACATAACCACTCCTTACAACAAAAGTTTGCAAAAAAACAAAACAAAACTGGACAATCAAATGTCATAATATGGTTGCCTGGTCTGATGCATCTTGATTCCTCCTAAAACATTTGTTTGATAGGATCATGATTTGGTGTAAACTACAATAAATCATAGATCCACACTGTCTATCAACAATTCAGGTTATTTTCTCACCTGTATTAATTCTGACCATGTCCATCCTTTTATAACAACAGAACTTGAATCAATGGAGCACCTTTGGGATGTGCTGGAATAGATTTGCATCATGGATGTGCAGCCGACAAATCTGCACCAACTGTCTGATACCTTCACCTTGAGGCCAAATTCAAAAGGAATGTTTCCAGCACCTTGTTGAATCTACTGTAAGTCATGACGACTTTTGGCAGTTCCAAAGGCAAAGTGGGATTGGTGTGTACTACTGTTATTCACTATACTAAACCTGACCAATAGAGGGCAGCTAATGCCTTTAATACAAAAAAGAAGTAGAGGTAATTGTAAAAAGTGCCAGGCAAATCCAGAACTCAACTGTAGCCAACATACATGCAAAACAGAGGAGAGCTGAAACAGATGGGTATCAATATATCTCTTTATTTGGCAATCAGCTTGAAATGATCTAGATTTCAGTGTATAGCATACCCCTATTAAACCCACACAATCCTTTCGATAAACATGTCTCTTATTTACCTTAGTTTTTACATATTGCAGTTTACAAATTTAGCTTATCTGTTTGACAAAATCAATTCGACAATGGATCTTTTTTTATGTGCTATATAAAAATCTACACATTATACATTCATGATTAGAAAATAAAAAATCCAAAACAATATTTAAACAGCACAGAACAGAACTCGTCAACATGTCCCACCCAGGTGTGAGCGATCACAAATTAAAGTTGAATACTTCAATATTACAGTAAATACTGAGAAATGTCCAATGACAAACAGGATTACTGGAGGGAGGTTGTTTTTACACCAGAGGTCTGGACTCAAGGAGAATAACCATGATAACGTTACAGGGAAGATAGAGAGAGAAACGGGAATGCTGATTACGTTCTGCCAGATCTTCTTCAATAGTACATCTAATCTTTCTTTCGAGGCTTAAAGCTCTTCATGACAAAAATCAGCCTATGGTCTGGCTCTCGGCTTTCTCTAATCTCATATTGCCTTTCGTTAAGTGCACAGGTGCTCACTTTTGTTTGCCCCCAGTTTCTTTCTTTTTTTGTGCGTCATCTATTTCACTCTCTTTGGGAATGTAACGTGGTGCGATGGGTCAAAATCATTAACCGCATCATCTGATTTCTTGACATCTCTGAGAGGGTTTTTTCCAGAAAGATTACAAAGAGTTATAAATGACAATGGTCCAATCCCAAATGGCACCCAAAATTCTTGCAGTCTACCTCTAAATCCACACATTCTTGCCGTAATGCAGCTTTGACCATCGAGTTAAAGTCTGCTGCAGACCTCAACTCAGTGTGCATTTAAGGGAGCATAACAGCCTCTTGTGAGCACCCCCCTAAAAGACAAAACGCAGTCTTGCTGACTTGACTTCCTTGTACACGCTGGCCCTTAATGCTTCCAGTCTTTCTCTGAGCTCACAGTATCATGCCATGATTGAGTTTTAAGTATGCTTGGAGCTCACCTTAGAAGTAGTGGGCTTAGAAGAAGTGCACATCAAGGGTACATGGCTTCTGCACACGCACCCATCCGAAATCTAGTCCACTCTTTTGTGAATTTATGCCAGTTGAGTAGAAGTCTGCTTACTGCGGCACATAGTGGCCACAAAAGGTGTTGTTTACTAGTGCCCTTCTGAAAGCTAAAATGGTGAATTGGACACCCGATGGTCTTGTGGACCTAACTGACAAGTGTACATGGGGGCTACAATAAGTCTGTAATAGCAGAAGTGCACAAGAGACTCAATCTCAAATGGCACCCTAAGCCCTTGCCATCTTCCTCTGAGTCCAGATTTTTGTGATGTGATGTCACTTTAATGGTTGAATGGAGATCTGCTGCAAAGCTCGCCTAAAGGCCCTGATATACTTCAAACAAAGTTCTTTTACACTCTTCATTTGAAAGAAGTAGTTTGAAAAGGCTGAATGATGATATACTGCTTTCAAACATTCAAACACGAGGTGGGGTTGAAAAAAATCTGTCAATCTTGCAAGTGTGTGCCCCCTAAACATAACAATGATGGTGGCTGTGAGCGAAGAACAGTTTCATTAACATCTGGCAGTAGCGCTGATCTATTTAATGGCACAAAATAGAACAAGTAATGTAGAAACTAAAAGAATTATGATGAATTATTCAGAAAATGCAGCATTTTCATACTTTAGAATGTGCATTGGTGGTTTTGACGACCTCCTGAAAAGTGTATCGCCATAAGAGAACATACAGTACAAAAAACCACAGGATGGTCTTGACACTCTTAGTACTACAGTAGGTTGTCAAAGATGGAGTTCTAGAACACATCCACCAATTGTGTGATCAAGATTGTGTTTAAAATTGTCATTTCAGATCGTTCATTGATTTCGTTAAAGTATATTAGGGAATTAACCCTGGCACTAGCTCAAAAAAACATTGTAGGTGCATAGAAGGCACACACATTTCTGAAAGATTAAAGGTGAATGGGACACCATACAGTCTTGTGGACTTAACAGACATGCACACACAGAATCCATAGGTCTGCACAATTGTAACAATCCTAAAAGGCACCCTAAAATAGGGTTAGGCAACTTTGGTCCAGGCCTACTATCCTGAAGAGTTTAGCACCAACCCTAATCAAACACTCCTACCTTTGGCTTTCTGGTGATCTTGAAAACAACGAATAGCTTCTTTGTGTTGGTTTGATTAGGGCAAGAGCTAAACTCTGCAAGGCAATGGCCCTCTATGACCAAAGTTCTCCATTACTGCCCTAAGCCCTTCTAGTCCTCATCTACGTCCAAACTTTTATGCTGTGATCCCCCTGACTTTTGAAGAGAAATCTGCATGGGGCTCAGCAAAAATCGAGGGCATATAATGGCTGCAAAGAAAGACTGCAAAGATTTCTGAAATCTAAAATGACACATGGTCTTGTGGACTAAACAGACAAGTGCAGAGTCCACACTTCTGTGTTGTAATGCCAATGACTGCTAGGAAAATATATGTCCAGAGCTCACCTCAGAGTGCATCAAGGGTGCATAGTGGACCATTTGTGAGCACTCTTCCAAAATCTAAAATAAAGAATGGGACACCCTACACTCTCAGAAATAAAGGTACAGGAGCTGTCACTGGGGTGGTACATTTTCAAAAGGTATTTGAACTTGAAGGGTACATGTTAGTACCTTAAAAGTATATATTAGTACCTACAAATTTTAAGAGGAACACTTTTGTACTTTTTAGGCACTAATATGTACCCTTGAGGTATTAATATGGACCTTTTAAGAACAAATTTGTACCTTTTGAAAAGGTACCACCCCAGTGACAGCTTGCGTACCCTTATTTCTGAGAGTGTACGGTCTTGTGGATTTGACAGACAGCTGTACACAGCAGCCTTTTTAAGTCTGCAAACCTAACAGTGTAGATGGATGCCCAAAACCAAATAGTACCATAGTCTCTCGCGGTTTTCCACACTTTTGTGGCACTTTGACGGAAGCTAACAAAACACACATTAAAAAGTCTCATAGACTTAACAGCTTTGACTTACAACAGCTTTTGTAAGACTGCAAGAGTGCCATTTGGGATTTGACCCATACAGTAGGATATACCTTCATTTGACCATTATTACTAGTTTTTTTAATAATAACACAACAAATTACATATTAGGAATACAAATTAAAAGTTTCAATGTCTTATAAAAGGCATGCCTTCTCTGTTTTAAATATATATAGTGAAATGGAGAAACATGATTGTGTGCGTTTAAGTGCCTTTTATATTGGGCATTGTTTATAATCATGCCTCAAAGTGTGTATGTGTGTATGTTTATGCGTGTGTGTGACTGGGGAAGGTACACAGTTGTGGTGTCTTGTGATGTGCAAAGCTTAAATGTCAGAGTCCACCATTCAGCAGTGAGTAAGGTCCACAGAAATGCTGCTTGTTTTTCTCCTTTTCCCTGAATCCCCAGCGCTTAGGATACATTCTCAACACATCAGTGGGTATCCAAACTAGAAGTCTATTACCTCGAAAGGAAACTCTCTTTAGAAAACTCTAAAATATTGATAGCCTCTAATAATCCGCTGTATTGCTATGAGACACAGTTTCCTAATAAGGTGAGTGTATTCTTTTGGTCCATGCTCACTTTATTATTACTCGTTTGCACTGATATGTACCAAAATGCGCTGGAAAATTTGCGAACGATAGCTTTTTTTATAGATATATATATGTGAGGTTGTGCACTGGGAGCAAATCAATGTTCAGCAGTAAGAGGTATTGCTACAGAGTCAGTTCAGTCTGTTGTTCAAAAACCAGCTTTTGTGTGTTTGGTGTCGAGAACACTATGGAGTAAACAACACTTGCGTAATTTAGTCATGGCACAATATGTGTGATGGTTTCCTGCGTGTCGTAAATCAAGTGTCTGATCTGCATTGTGATGCATGGATACATCAGAATAGACTAGAGAGAAGGGGGGTGGGCTTTGGTGTATTATTCAGATCATGAGAGAAGCAGTGACTGACCAAGGTCAATAGTCAAACAGTCAGACAGCGGTCTGTCGTTCTACTCTGTTTGGAACAGGCATCTCGTCCTCCCCCTCTCCCATTCTGTCCTCAGATATCCTTCTTTTCTAATCTCTCTTTCTTTCTTTCTCTCTCTCTCTCTCTCTCTTACTAGTTCAGTGCTTCACCAGAATGCCTGCTGTTAAACATTAGAATCAGTTTGTTTTCCTCCCAGAGTTTTGCATTTTAAAAATACAATTCCCAGAGTCCTTTGCTCAGAGGCTCAGTGTACATGTGTTTACATGCGCTGTGCATCCATAATGTCCAGGTACTTAGCCTCAATGATCCTGGGCAGTAGACAGTTCCTGAGAGAAAGTGAAAGTATGTTAATATCAAAGGGCTATTTAAAAAAAAAAGTTTAATTTTATTCATATTTGAAATATTTTTATATGCCAGTGTGGTATAGCATGAAAAAAAATTCTTTAAAATATGACATAAATTTAAATGATTATGAGACTAATTATTTTGGGTTTTCAAATGAGAATTTTTTTTGTATTATTGAAAAACATTTTTTTTTATTAACTTCTAGTACTTGTGTTACTCTAGTTACTTCTTAGCATTGATATATACAGTTGAAGTTAAAATGATTTGCCCCTCTTTGACTTTTTTTTCTTTTTAAAATATTTCTTCAATTATGTGTACCAGGGCAAGGAAATCTTTACAGTATGACTGATAATATTTTCTTCTTCTGGAGAAAGTCTTATTTGTTTTATTTCGGCTGGAATAAAAGCAGGACAAAATTATTAGCCCCTTTAAGCAAATTTTTTTTTTTTCCGATAGTCTACAGAACAAACCATCGTTATACAATAACTTGCCTAATTACCCTAACCTGCCTAGTTAACGTAGTTAAGCCTTTAAAAGGCACTTTAAGCTGTATAGAGTGTCTTGAAGAATATCTAGTCAAATATTATTGACTGTCATCATGGCAAAGATAATAAATCAGTTATTAGAAATGAGTTATTAAAACTATTATGTTTAGAAATGGGTTGAAAAAAATCTTCTCTCAGTTAAACAGAAATTGGGGAAAAAATAAACAGGTGGGCTGATAATTCAGGGGGGCTAATAATTCTGACCTCAACTGTATGTACTGTCTGGTCCTCAAATCTGATATTGTCGGATACTGTGATAATCTGCAATAACAGCACTTTTACAGTCTCTTTACTCTTGTGTGTTACTCTATACAATACAGTTTGACAAACATTACAGCTGATGAACAACAAAATATACTATTAAAGCTTTTTAGGCAAGAATGTAGTTGTTTAGATTACAACTATGCAGTTTATTTATAAGGATAGTGTCTATTTTATATTTTCATAATTTTAGATTGGCGGCCATTAGCCTGTCATACTGAGCAGAGCAAAGCCAATTAACGTCACTTGCGACAGAAACCACATAATAATCCATAGGGGAGAAAAACTGCCTTTCAAACTACAGCTGAACAAATAATTCTATAACAGGTAAGTGACACTTAAAGTTGATCTCTCTCTCTTTTATATGTTGTGGTGCTGTATTTATACCATAGTAAACTGCTAGTGTTTGCTTTGCTTTGACTTGTTCTGGGTTAATTATTGTGAAATCCTAATTGCAACAGAGGAATACTGCATTGCCATTTAATGTCACTGAGCCTTATAATCTTAAAATGTGAGCAAAATCACCTGTTGTGTCATCACTTTAGACATTACGCTAGAAAATCATTAAAATACTAGCTCTAAAGTTACGTGTTTTTATGCTACGGCTTCTGCTGTTTTGACCGTCAAATGCAGATGTGATTGAATGCTGGAAAAAAGAGGTCCTTGTACAAAAGGATTTTTGAGACTCTCTATGTTTTTTTGTTTACACGATTATGCCATCAAACTGTTGTATAAAGGCAATGAGTAGCAGTGCGATATGGCAGTATGTTGTCACAGGTGGGACACTAAAGCACTCTGCCTCACCTCCCACCATATATATATATATATATATATATATATATATATATATATATATATATATATATATATATATATATATATATATATATATATTTTTTTTTTTTATTTATTTATTTATTTTTTTTTAAAGAAAAGTATGGGTTTTAATCAACTTCAAATGTCGACTACTACTACACACACACACACAGACACACGCGCACGGTATTTATGTCTTTTATGAATCCGTCATTCATCATTCAGTAGCATGACCTTTTAGGAAACCATTTATTACTTGCGCACATATTCAATAACACACACACAAACACAGACACACACAAACACTAAACGCACCTGATGGGTATGAGGATAAACATTAGCAGAGGAAAGATCATCTTCATATACGGGAGCGGGTACATCCCAAACGCACAGAGGAACAGCAGCTGCACCATCTGAAGGAAAGTGAAGTAATGGATCTTCCTCTGCGGCACCTTGCGGATGTAGTGAGTGGGAGGATACGACGTCTGAGCAAGAGTCAAACACAAGACATACAGATGAAAAATAAACTCTGACCTCTTACAGTATAAGCCTCATACAGTGCACGTGTCTCCACATAAATCAAGTCCAAATCAGGGCTATATGCAAATATAATAGAGTTCATGGCCATGATTATGCTAATGGCGGACAGCTTATTTTTCTGCTCTCTTCGTCCCATGGGGCAATTAGTTTTTCAGTTTTGAGGCTGATACAGACTCATGTCTCGGCTATTATTGTGGATTAAGGCTCAGAAACCTCTAGATAGTGCTACGCATATATTTATAAGAAGCTCTTCATATATGTCGCCTGAATAACTAACTAGAAATACCGGAAGTTGACTACATTAGCCAAACAACTGACTTCTCAATTGGTAATACAAATTATTAAGATAATATTATGTAATACACTGTAAAGGTTTAATAATACACAATAAGGCTGCATGAAATTAGAAAAATTACATATTGTGATATACAGTTGAAGTCTGAATTATTTGCCCCCCTTTGATTTTTTTTCTTTTTAAAATATTTCTCAAATGATGTTTAAAAGAGCAAGGAAACTTTCACAGTATGTCTGATAATATTTTTTATTTCTTCTAGAAAAAGTCTGATTAGTTTTATTTCAGACAGAATAAAAGCAGTTAAATTTTTTTTAAATACCATTTTAAAGTTAAAATTATTAGCCCTTATTAAATTATTTAAAAATCTTCTCTCCGTCAAGCAGAAGTTGGGAAAAAACAGGTACAGGAACAGGAGGGCTAAAAACAGGAGGGCTTAAAATTCAGAGGGAGCTAATAATTCTGACTTCAACTGTATATTGCGATATGAATTAAATTTCGCTAAATGAGTTAAAATGAGTTAACTTATATAAATTATATTTTTAGATTGGGATAATTCTGTAGGGGAGTGTATAAAATATAACAAGCAGATATAAATTAAATAAAGAAAAATATACAAAATATATAAAGAGTCAAACTGTGTTCAAATGTAAAATAATACTGCACATGTCTTTGTTTTATTAACAATTCAATAAAATTAATTGTTATACATTTTTTTAAGTCACAAACGGTACATTTTCTTATGCTTGAATGCTTTAAAACCCTCATACAGTCAAAACACGTGCAAAATGATAAATTATCATTTAGACTCAACATTTCGTATACTCATGATGTGACTATTGCTAATAATCACATTGCGATATCGATGTGAAATGATATATTGTGCAGCCCAACCCTAGAAAAGCCATTTACACACACACGTTTGCCAGGATCAGCAGGCCAGCGCATAAACGCTATCGGAAATACTGGAGCAAAATAAATTTTTATATTTTAAGGACATAGCGCAGAAATTTAATGCATTGCTTCCGGTACATTCTGCGACCCACTTTACAGTGTATATCAATTAGGCAGTGAACATCACTGATTTAAAAAAAAATTTTAAAATAGACTTTGTAAAGGCATACAGTTCACCAGAAGTGTTTGATCCAGGCTACTGACAAATTAAAAGTCATTCTGCATGCTTCTGCATATGCCCTATTGTGTGAAACCCAGCATTTTTTACAGTGTATAAACAAGCTTTTTTTCTTCTGTTCCTTTTTGCATCTAATAATTCATTTTGTTTCAAATTCTATACATTTACTATATAAAAAATACTTATAAACACTTTCATTATTAGAGTAAAAAAAAATGAATGAAAAATATGTATAATGTAATGTTAATGTTAAGCAAGTATTTTACTTTAAACATACTCACAAATATCTATGTCAGTGTTTTGTAACAACTATATTTGATTTACTTAAGTCATACAAGTGGAAATTTCACATCTGTCACATTCATAACGAAGAGATGTCACATTTATAACCAAGCTTTTCTTTCATAAATGCAAACTAATAGCGCTGGAAACTAATAAACGCTGGAATGGCTCTGCAACTGGACTCAAAGTACATACTAACGTTATACTTCATCATTGTGCTCTCTGAATGTGCATAAAAGGCTTTCTGTATGTTATAGTTTAGTATATGTATAGTAAAAAAGCCCACCGACTGCATTTACCCTATCATTTACACAGTTGTAATGTATGCATCTCAGACCACATCCTGATTTATTTCAAACAAATCTTAGAGGACATTTAAGCTTGTCTTAATCAGTAAATGCATGACTGGATCCTGTGATATTTCCACACAGGACAGGAAGAGGGCGCTCTGCTGCTTCATTTGCACATTTCTCTCTCTCCTGTGTTTGTATTTGTGCAACATCTATGACTTTTATTTGCCTTTGTTTTGATCAAAAACACACACACACACACACTCACTTGTTCTTTGAGGAGCAGAGCCATGCGGTCGCACATCTGATTGCCTTCGATGGAGGTGAGAGCGATGTAGAGAAAGAGCCCATAGAGCACAGGTTTGGGGATCCACTGCAGGGGCACCGGCAGCAGAAACACACTCACACCGATCAGGATGTTTGCCACGAGAGAGGTCACCCGCGTCTCCTTCACACTCACTATACTACACACACACACAGAAGCGCCATTTAAAGGGGACATTTCAGTAAAATATCACGTTTTTTTTCTGTTCAAGTGCTATAATCGGGTACATCTAGCAATCAAGAACATGGGAAAAGGACAAACAGGTAACTTTGTCTTTTTTTGCACACATGTAGAACAACAAGCTTCTCGGATTTCACTACCCTAGTGATGTCGAAGGGATTAAAATAAATACAGTACTGCTACAGCCATCCGTCATTTTTGTTTAATCACTGAAGCAGCTTGAGGTTTACAATGTCTGCACCAGATAAAAAACAATACAAATGTTCTGTTTTTGGAAGTAAATATAAAGCAGGTTCACACCAAACGCAAAGAGAACACATGTCGTATCACTCGCTCTAGTTTACTCACAAGTTGTGTTTTCCCCACACAATTGCGTATTCAACATTATTCGTATGCCTGTCAAGCTTCCTGTTTTTCCGTTATTCTCCTGTTACATACCATTCTATCATGCTGTTAAACTATTTTCTTGTATATTTCCCATAATTTTAATCTGTCTATGAATAAACATGGTGGCTCAGTGGTTAGCACCATCGCTAGAGGTCAGCTAGAAGGGCGCTGGTTTGAGTCCCAGCTGGCTCAGTTAGCATTTCTGTGTGGAGTTTGCATGTTCTCCTAAACTAAAATGTATGTGTGTGAATGAGAGTGTATGGGTGTTTCCCAGTGATGGTTTGCAGCTGGAAGGACATCCGCTAAGTGAAACATATGCTGGAAAAGTTGGTGGTTCATTCCGCTGTGGTGACCCCTGATGAATAAAGGCGAATAAGCCAAAGGAAAATAAATGAATGAATGATGAATAAACATCATCAAAGAGCAGGTTCTCCCTATACGCATAGTACTGCCGAACCACCAGGGGGCGCCCATTTCTTTTAAATGTGAAGAGCTGTTCAAGAGAATTATAAATATAAAAATGGCTGCATTCCCTTTCTTTCCAATACAGCCATGCGCTGTTAGTGGTATCTCTTATTTTCACATTAAATGTTGACAGATATGATCAATCAAGCCGCCTAGAAAAAAATCACCTTTATTCATTAGCCCATTTCACACATCAGACCTTTCTGGAAAATTACCGTCAATTTTCCGGAAAGGTATCATGTGTGAACAGGCCCTTTTTGACAATACCAGTAAATTCATTCAGGCAATTTTCCAAAAAGAGAAAGTGTAACATTACCGGTGATTTGTCGGAATGCTGCTGTACATCCGTGCCGTTAGTCAAATAACGTTTCTATGTTCAATATTAATGCCAACTGCGGCAAAAATTATTAATAAAATGCTGCTGATAAACCACTGTCTGTTTACCTTCAAGCTCTGCTTCAGCTGAGTGATGTGTGTGCACGTGAAGAAGTGCTCCGGGGAGCGCCAGCACAAACACATATTACGTACATCTCGACATTCAAAGTGTTCCTCTATGTTTAGCCGTTTAGAGGTCATTCCTGGTTAATGTGTCAGAATTTACTGGTATTTTGGAATGGATGTGTTAATGGTCATTTCCGGAACGTCCTTGCCTGTGTTGTCAGCGCTTTTTTAATTTACCAGTAAAGTCATTCCAGAAATTTTCCAGATTTACCGGTATCATAGTGTGAAAGGTGCTAATGACTTTGTAAACAATTTGCTTGCGTGAATACTTCAATTTACATTTGGTGTGAACCCAAAATAAATGGCTCCATAGACTCCCAACATTCAAGCCAATGAGGACATTGTAGTTGACTTTTATTTTTGAAGAAAACGTGCCAAAGAATGTTAGTTTATGCAAAATACATTTTATGCCAGACTGCTACACCAGTTCAACACGGACGAGTCAACACCAACACTGCTGTGTTCTGATTTCATAATCAAAATTCCAAAATGCACAATTTGCGAATTTCAAAAATGCCCATTTATTATAAAATGAATAGTCTGGTGACAAACTTTCAAAGGCATAGTTCAACCAAAACTGAAAATTCTGTCATAATTTTGTCACCTTTTTCCAAACCTGTTTGACTTTCTTACTTTTGTTGAACATTAAAGAAGATATTTAGAAGAAAGTTGGAAACCTGTAACCATTGACCTCTATAGTATTTGTTTTTCCTACTATGAAACTGAATTGTGACAATTTTTCAGCTTTCTTCAAAATATTTTCTTTTGTGTTAAACATAATAAAAACTCATAAAGGTTTGGAACCACTAGCAAGCATTCAGTGAGTAAATTTTAAAAAAGTTTAATTTTGGGTTAAACTATCCCTTTAAAACGTTCTTTAATAATAAGAGAATCTTTTTACAATGTTTAATTACAAACGCCACACATCTAAACAGAAACAACAACATGTTGATGTGTTTAATTTGCTTAATTATCCTTATAGACCATTTTGAGGGATGTAAACAAAAACAATGGTCCCAACGTATTTCCTGTTTATATTTTTAATTTCTATCACTTCTGAGAATCCAAAAAGAGCAACATATTGATAAATAACGTTATAAAAGCTGTTTTATTATCAAGTTATGATTGAATTGCCTCTTGTTAAAGTTATGAAATAGTTTGATAACTAAAAGGAAATGTTCATGGGTCAATGAGATGTCTATAGTCAAATTAACTGTTTGGAAATGTCCTGATTTAAGTTTCCACCTCTTTCTCACCATCTTTCTCACCTTTTTTTTGCATTTATTTGGCTGCAGATTCAGCTGTTTTGTTGTTTCTGTCAGAACAGCGCATAAAGGCTCCACCCTCTTCTGGAAAGCAGCAGCTCATTTGCATTTAAATGGACGCACATCAAAAATGTGTGCTTTTGCTTACACCAAGAGAGTGGCAAATTTGACTAGGCTATAGGTATGTTTTGAGCTGAAATTTCTGTGGACAGCAGAGCTTTATATTACATCTTAAAGAAAACAGGGATAACATCCGGAAAACTGAGTGACGGTTGTGCTGCTCCGACTGATTGCGGCTGTGATTGTTTGCGAGCACAGGGCTTGTTTGTGTGCAGTGTGTGTGCTCACGTCTCGTAAAGGTGTCCTCCCTCCACCCGCTCCTCCACGATGGCCAGCTGTCGCACGTGCAGAGTGGAGTGTGGGAAGGCAGCGTGCATCCACGGCAAGCCCAGCACAGACATCAAAATATTAATCAAGCCAGACAGAGTCAGGTCCCAGTGATACGCCGTGCCCTTCAGTAACCTGTGGCAAACACACACACACACAGTGTCAGGACTCTAAAACCACAGTCTGATCTGCTTTCTTAACCAAGTGCAAAGTGAATTTGTGGTGAATTTTAATCATAATATGCAATATGTATTTTTCTTTTTAATATAGAAGAATAAGATTTCAACATTTAAAGAGCTATGAATTGTTATCTAATAATGTACAACCCAACAAAAGAATGAATTTATTTATTTAAATTAAACTGATCAAAAGTGATAGTAAAAACACTTACAATATTACAAAATGGTTTACCAAATACACTTTGTTCTTCTGAACTTTCTGTTTATCAAAGAACGCTGAAAAAAAGATTTTTAAAGATTCCTTCAAGATTTTGAAGGGTCATTTCAAAAATGATATAAAAGAATCTGTAAAGTAAACCTGTAACCATTGACCTCCATGCTATCTGTTTTTTCAAATATGGATGTTAATGGTTTCAGATTTGCAATATGAATCATTGTGTCTTTTGTGTTCAATAGAACAAATAAAAAAAAAACTTTTTGGAACAAGTCAAGGATGTGTGAATGATTTAATTAAAATAAAATGAATAAAAATTTTTTGTGTAAACTATCCCTTTAATAAGCTCATGATTTTCTAACAATGATTATTAATAATCCCTGTGGTAACACTTTAGAATAATGGTCCATTAGTTAGTGTTAGTAAAGTTTTTAAATAAGCTAAGTATGAACTAAGTATGAATAATCTTGTAAAGCATTTATTAATCATGGTTCAACATGAACTAAAGCATTATTAATATCTAAAGTTGTGCTTCATTAGTTAATGCACAGTGAGTTGTATATATACATGTATATATATATATATATGTATATGTATATATACATATACATTGTATATAACTGTATATATACAGTTGAAGTCAGAATTATTAGTCCCTCTGAATTATTAGTGACCTGTTTATTTTTCCCCAATTTCTGTTTAACGGAGAGAACATTTTTTTCAACATTTCTAAACATAATAAATTAACAACTAATTTCTAGATAATATTTTATCTTTGCCATGATGAAAGTAAATAATATTTGACTAGATATTTTTTCAAGATACTTCTATACAGCTTAAAGTGACATTTAAAGTCTTAACTAGGTTCATTAGGTTAACTAGGCAGATTAGGGTATTCAGGCAAGTTATTGTATTGTTTGTTCTGGAGACTATCAAAAATAAATATAGCTTAATGGGCGAATAATTTTGACCTTAAAATGTTTTTCAAAAATTAAAAACTGCTTTTATTCTAGCCAAAATAAAACAAATAAAACTATCTCCAGAAGAAAAAATATTATAGGAGATACTGTGAAAATGTCATTCCTCTCTTAAACCTAATTTGGGAAATATAAAAAAATAAAAATAAAAATTCAAAGAGGGGCTAATAATTCTGTATATGTAAAAATATTTGTAGTCTGTAGGTTTGAATTCAAGTTGGCTAAATTTTAGTAATCTGTATATAATTCTCATATGAGAGGAAACTTATTTCTAGAGACCTGTTTTCCGGTGCATTTGTGAGTGAAACTACGATGTTCTGGTCAATGAAGATGAGGAGAAAGAGGAGGAAGCCTAGACCCATCGCACTGAGGACACTCGCTCCTGTCAGCTTATCCAAAGGGGCTACTTGAAACACCGGACCTTCATGGAAGTTAAACACCGGCACTGGAAAAGAGAATATGACACACAAACCATTACAAACTCTCTAATAAACAGACCATCCACCACACTGTGATTAAATTGATAGTATACACTGAGTCAGAACTGATTTTTTTTTCTTTTTAGCAGCAAAATCTCTATTGCTTATTTAGAAAAAAAAGCTACAGAAAAAAAGGGCACGAACCAAGATGTCCAAAGCATTCATTATGCTACTGAGTATTAAAAACTTCAAAGAGGATCATAAGCGTAGAGTTTCATGTGGCGGGGCTGCCTTTATTTTTACTCATATACTCTTATCTATAAATGGTTTCAAAGTGAAGCAAGACAATTTGTCTTAACTAAGCAAGTCAGGAAGTGTCATTTGTTTTTGGATGTTTAAAATTCTGGCTAAAACTGACTGCTTTTAAATCAAATATTAAAACCATAATTAATATTAAAAGTGGTGATATTTTTATAGGAGCTGTAGAAAGATTAAATGAATTATCTTACATTTACAGGAAACAAGACAAAACAAAAACATCAATGTTCATGAAAAGGTATGAAGGAGTTTTGTCTACTTTTATTTATTTTGTTTTCCTAATAATGCTCTGTGGTCATACACATATGCAAAAACACAATGCTTTGTTGTCCCAAGCTTTTAGACCAGGGGTCACCAATCTCGGTCCTGGAGGGCCGATGTACCTGCAGGGTTTAGCTCCAACTTGCCTCAACACACCTGCCTGGGTGTTTCAAGTATACCTAGTAAGAGCTTGATTAGCTTGTTCAGGTATATTTGATTAGGGTTGGAGCTAAAATCTGCAGGGCACCGGCCCTCCAGCAACAATTTTGGTGATCCCTGTTTTAAAGCATTTTAAGATTGGTTGGTTGGCTGGCAGGCAGGCAGGCTGGTTGGTAGTAAGGTTGGTAGGTACAGTAGGTTGGTCGGTCGATTGATTGCATTTATTTGAATGTGCAATTATCTTTCAAAAGTTAAGTTTTGGCCACAAGGAAACATAACTATTTTAGATTTTGACAGTTTAGCAGCTAAACTGTTTATAATTTGTACAAATTCATATTCAGGCGTACGAAAATGTACAAATTTTAAAAAGAAGGTGTGGCACCAAACTTCACCACTAAACCCACGGATTGGGTTGTCATTGGGAGATAAGCAAATCATAATAAAAATTCATAGAGTTCAAAGAAATTCATAGTCAAAATGATTTGAATTGGTGTGAGATTTGTAATAACTGCTTTTGGACTATGTTTTATAAACCTTTAGTTGTGAGCAAAATTCATTTATTCATTTTTTTCCGGCTTTGTCCTCTTAATCAGGGCTGCCATCTTTTGGTTTTAGCTTGGAGTGGGAATTTTTGCCCTGCCCCTATGACTCAAGCCATGCCCCCACACAACGCCACGCCCCCATTTATTTTTATACATATATATATAGATTGTAAAAATATAATTTTAATGAATATTTTTTAGAAAATATTTATTATAAATAAGAGTATTATCACTGTTTTACGATTATTCTGTTTTAAATAAATAAAAGAAAAAAATCTATTCTAAATGTAACTAATGTAACTGAAGTGATATGCAAAGATCAATTAAGAAATCTTTTGTATAAATATATTAAATTCACGACAGCATAGGGTCTCAGTGGTTAGCACTGTGACCTCACAGCAAGAAGGTCACTGGTGTAAGTCCCAGCTGGTCCAGTTGGCGTTTCTGTGTGGAGTTTGCATGTTCTCCCTGTTTTGCCGGGGGTTTCTTCCAGCTGCTCTGGTTTCCTCTACAAGTCCAAACACATGTGCTATAGGGTAATTGATGAACTGAATTGGCCATAGTGTATGAGTGTGTGTGTATAAGAGTGTGTATGGGTGTTTCCCAGTACTAGGTTGTGGCTGGAAGGGCATCCGCAGCATAAAACATTTGCCAGAACACCTGGCAGTTCATTACGCTGTGGCGACCTCGAAAATAGAGACTAAGCTGAAGGAAGATTAATAATTAAATATGAATTTCATAAGAATTAAATTCTATAGACAATTGTATAGAACACAAAAATATGTTTTGTAGAATTATGTGTTTTGTTGTCTTAGACTCGACTCAGGGCCATAAATTAGGTTTATTAAGTCTAAATTCCCTGAATTCATCCTTCCTTTCTGCTTCATACAAAAATCTATCGGGCTATACTTAGTCAAAATAAGATCATCATCATACTATTTAAACTTTAGTTTCGCCGACTTCCAAAACTCACAGCGTACCGACACCTGTACATAAAAAGCAGATACCCCTGCCATAAAATCCAACACCTCTGAAATGCGCATCTATTAACTTAAATTGATCATTTTTTAATAACAGCATTATGATACTAATTAGAGTGAACCCATCCCTTATAGAAGATTACAGATTTGTTTTTTACACTTATTTGTAAACCTAGTGCGTTTTAAAATGCGTTTCACTTACTGTTTTTGCTTTATCCATCAAGATATAATCATATTACTTTTTAATCAGTTATGGCCTTTGATTTAATGAATGAGATTCCCAATGAAAGTCTATGAAAGCCGCCGATTTCACAGCAAAGGTGCGTTTCTCGGCACAACACCTGTAGCACAACGCAAAAGCGGTGTGTAAGCAGCGAACATTTTTTTCGGCATGCATGTTCAAAACTGAGATCCATACTGTGAGTGGGAACATGAGCAGCATGTCAACGTCAAGCAGGAGCAGTGCGAGAGGCGCACAGGTATGTTTTCTGCGCACATGCGTCAGTTTGTTTTTGATTACATTACTTTCACCAGCATTGGTTTGGTTGCACATAGAGAATAACACCTTTAAATAACGCTAAAAGTCTTTAAAACCATCTTTATTATAACGGGAAAAAATATTTCACTGGGATGATTTTTCTGCGTGAGAAAATAGATGTGTGGCCTGAGAGCATGAGAATACTATTCAATTGTGTGACTAGTTGGCAGCCCTGCCCTTTATTAATCTGTGGTCACCACAGCGGAATGAACCACCAACTTATACAGCATATGTATTGTGCTGCGGATGACCTTCCAGCTTTGTGAGCAAAAGTTATTTTTGTAATATCGTGCATGAAATAATAGAACCAAAATGTTTTATTTTTAAATGCATGTAGCATTTCCCCATATCTAACACATTTTTATGAGCAAAGTGGCTGTGATTGTGTCTATGGTGGTAGTGGCACCACCTAGCTTGGCCCTTGATTATGTGTACAGTAAATAAAAAATAAAAAAACATCACAGCGTTAAACATTAATAATCTCATTTTACATTTATGGCAGCTAAATTATTATTAATCTAATGATTTTTGTTGCTTTAAAACTTTTCAGACTGTTTTTATTTAGTTTGGAATAAATAGATAATCCACATGAACAATTTAAAATGTTGGTTTGGTTCATGTGTAATTTGAAATTTAAAAGAATTTCAGTTTTTGAGTAATAAAAACATGTAAGTACCATGGTAATCTTCAAATCTTGGATTTTTCCCTCACATTTGATCATTAATAATAAGATGTAAATAGAATAAAGTATGGCTGTAGCTTAAAAAATATTTAGTTATGATTGCTGTATAAGTGAGATTTTTTTATAAACTAATTTTGAGAGGATCATGTGCTTACCCTAAGTTCCATATAACAGCCATCTTCGTTATGAGGACCCCACCCTCCACCCCTACTCCTTCTTTCCTAGATGGGTGGCACGGTGGCCCAGTGTTTAGCTCTGTTGCCTCACAGCAAGAATGTCACTGGTTCTAGTCCTTACCAAGCCAGCCGACATTTCTGTGCAGAGTTTACATGTTCTCCCCGTGCTCACGTGGGTTTCCCTAAACATACAACTCAAGTTAATTGACTAATTCAGATCGGCACCATAGACTTACGCCTAGTAAGTAGTTATCTCTTAAGAGCAATCACTATCTGTTCATTAGCTGCTACAGCAGGGAAGTTCTCAAGATCTACCTGAGCTCAACCTGTAATGGGTTGAGTCCTGTGTTCAAGGATCTTACAAGCTCAGGGCTCTCTTCCGGGACAGCATGCTAAACACGCTTTATAATCTATCATCTGCTAAGTGTGAACTCTTGAAAATTGTTTAAATGCAAAACATGTAAATTTACAGATTTTAAATGCATCATGAAAGCTACAATTCCTTTATATTGTAATGCTTAAAAGGTCTGCACATTGATATTTGTAAAATTAGTCCAAATGTACAGATAATTTAGAAGAAAAATATTTTGCTGGATGTGGAAATGCAGATAAATGAGGTGAACACAGTATATGTAAGCACACCACACCGGTGCCAATGTTTGGGACAATTTCTGCAAAATCAGCCTTTTATAGAAAGGCTGCGATTTGATCTAATTGTGAATATGAGCCTCTTCTGAGTGAATGCTTAAAGCGCCTGAGGTAAGAAGTCAAATCTCACTCTGATAACAAAGTTAAACTCCCACACCGAACTGATGAACGGCAGACGAGCCCCAGGAATAATGTACTGATAGTCGGAGCGAGTGGTTTTGCTGTGCTGTGCTGGCATTAAGAAAAGGAAAGAACAGGCAGTGTGTGTATGTGTGTGTCTGTGTGTTTATTGGTAGGGTATCCACTTTGGCAAGCCTTCTTAAACACAATCTGAGCCAAAAATTTGACTAATTCTCTTAAATCTTCACTGCTATTTGCATGTCATTTTCAAATTGCTACTAGAAATGCTGCATTTTTGACATGTTGAAGATAATCCAGCAATATGATTAAGACATTTACATAATAAAGGTGCTTTATCATTATGAATGCTTTTGATTTTCTTTTTGATTTGCTTAAAATCTAACATGAATTGACTCACAAAAAAAAACATTAACAGGATCGAAACAAAAGCATGACTATTATATAAGTATAACTGAAAACTAAATAGTGAAATGAATACAATTAAAATAAACAAACCATGTATTATTTTTTTATAAAATAAAAACATAAAATAAACCAAAAAATAAGAAAATATAAAACAAAAAAAATGTCTTTGGCTTGATATTGCAAAAAATACAAATAAAAAAATAAAAAAACATCAATAAAATAAATAAAAAATAAATAAATAAAATGCACATAAAAAGCTAATATATTGAAATAAAATAAATATAATAATATATTATAATATAATATAATATAATATAATATAATATAATATAATATAATATAATATGCACATAAAATAACAAAAGGCACCTATCATGCTGGTTATTTTATGCAAAAGAAAAACATTTCTGAAGAACAAACCATTTATTTAAATGGGTTAAAAATAAAATAAATATTTTTTAATAAAAAATAAAAAATACAATAAATTAGCAAAAAAATAAAATAAACACATAAAATAACATAAATTTAAAATGCTTCATATTTTATGCAAAATAACAATAATAATAATAATAATAATAATAATAATAATAATAATAAATAAATAAATAAAAAAATCAGTAAAGTTATCTGGAGAACAACCCCTTTATTTACATGGGTTAAAATAAAATTAAATAAAAATAAAAATAAAAATAAAATAAAATATAATATAATAAAATGTGCACATAAAAATAACAAAAGCAACCCATTTTGGTTGATATTACCAATAAATTAATAGAAAGATGAGTATCCTTCAAAAATTAGGAAAACTAAAGATTTCAAGTACCTTGCCCATGCATATATACAGTTGAAGTCAGAATTATTTTTAGCCCCCCTGAATTATTAGCCCCTGTTTATTTTTCCCCAATTTCTGTTTAACGGAGAGAAGACTTTTTCAGCTCATTTCTAAACATAATAGTTTTAATAACTCATTTCTAACAAATGAATTATTTTATATTTGCCATGATGACAGTACATAATATTTTACTAGATTATTTAATAGATATCTTATAGCTTAAAGTGACATTTAAAGGCTTAACTAGGTTAATTAGGTTAACTAGGCAGGTTAGGGTAATTAGGCAAGTTATTGTATAACGGTAGTTTGTTCTGTAGACTATCGAAAAAAAATATAGCTTAAAAGGGCTAATAATTTCGATTTTTTTTTTTTAAATAATAATTTTAAAAAATTAAGAACTGCTTTTATTCTAGCCAAAATAAAACAAATAAGACTTTCTCCAGAAGAAAAAATATTATCAGAGATACTGTGAAAATTTCCCTGCTCTGTTAAACATCAAAAAAAAAGAAATAATTGATGATATAAAATAATTCTGACTTCAACTATATATATATATATATATATATATATATATATATATATATATATATATATATATATATATACAATTAAAATAAACAAATATATAACATCCAATGCTGTGGCTACAACAGATTAAGTAGCCGAGATTAAAACTATATTGACTAGTTGTAATGTTAGATGTTAGCACATGAGTGTTAGTGTCAGAATGTGTGCAACACAAATACCAACACAAACGGTGTGACAGACTCACAGGCAATGTCGTTGAAGACGTAAGATCCCACATAGGAGAAGACGAGCACGGAGATGGGCAGAGCACAGTCAGACAGAATCTCTCTCATCTTCACATGCAGAAATGGACTGCCGGGAGAAAATGCAAAGAAGCGACTGTCAAAACAGTCTTCTAACACTCTTTAAGGAGAGACACTGCAGGTAAAACTGCTTTTTGAAGCAGCTGTCATATTTTTGGCCTTCTAATGCAGTGATTTTTAAAGCTCAATAAAAATAAATCATCCAAAAATAATCCTTTTATTGAACTATATGAATTTTTATCTGTAGAGTTTAATTACGAACCATATTTTTAAATGTCATTGTCTCAATATGTTTTTTTTTTCTACAGTACTGAGCCATGAATCATTTCAGCAGCTCCTACATACACTAAAATGTGCAGTTTTATGCATAACTCTTTTATTCATAACATGTTTTTATAAAGAGATTTGTACATACATCATTTGTCTGACCATATACAACAGTTTAATATTTAACATTTAGAAACTTGTAGAGTTAATATTTTTTTCATTCATACATTTTTCTTTGTGTAAGTACCTTTAATCATCAGGGGTCCAGCATATGTTTTACACAATGGATAGCCTTCCAGCTGCAACCCATCACTGGGAAACACCCATAAGCTCTAATTCACACATATACACTACGGCCAATTTAGTTTACTCAATTACCCTATAGTGCATGTTTTCGAACTGTGGGGAAAACCGGAGCACCAGGAGGAAACCCACACAAGCACAGGGAGAACATGCAAACTCCACACAGAAATGCCAATTGACCCAGCTGGGACTTGAACCAGTTACCTTCTTGCTGTGAGCCAATAGTGCTAACCACTGAGCCACTGACCTGTCCACATTTAGAAACTTGTGGATTTTTATTTTTGCAAAAAAAATATTTTATGATTGCAGTATTTTCTGAAAAGTGATGAAAAAAGATTTCAAAATGCCCATTGTAAAAATCTTTGGCTCATTTATGTAAAAATAAATAAATAAGGAGCGGCGCGGTGGTGCAAGGGGTAGCACTGTCACTGCACAACAAGAAGGTCACTGGTTCGCGCCTCGGCGGGGCCAGTTGGCATTTTTGTGTGGAGTTTGCCTGTTCTTTCTTTCCACCGGGTGTTCCGGTTTACCCCACAAGTCTAAAGATGTGATATAGGTGAATAGAGTAAGCTAAATTGTCCTTAGTGTATATGTGTGAATTAGAGCTTATGGGTGTTTCCCAGTGATGGGTTGCAGCTGGAAGGCCATCCATTGCTTAAAACATATGCTGAATAAGTTGGTGGTTTATTCCGCTGTGGAGACCCAAGATTAATAAAGGGACTAAGCTGAAAAGAAAATAAATAAATAAAACAAGAATTTTAAACCTGACCTCACCCAAATGTTCAGATTTTTATTTTTTTTGTGCTAGACATATATTTTATATACAAATTAGCACACATTTAATTTAATAAAGCCAAATTTGCATACATAAACAGAGTAACATTTTTAAAAAACGTGTTATATCAAAATATTAGTGATTTTGGTAACACAATAAAATAACTAATAACACTTGGATCATTATTCTAAAGTGCTACCGTTGTTTTTTTTTACCCTCTTCACCTTCACTTGTGTGTGTGTACATGTGTAGCTTGTACTCCTTATGTTGTGGGAACCAAATGTCCCCACAAGTATAGCATTACCAGTCAATTTGAACCTTGTGGGTCATTTTTTGGTTTCCATGAGAAAAATGCTCATAAATCTTATTTATAAAGTGTAAAAATGCAGATTGTTTCCTGTGAGGTTTGGTTTTAAGTGTAGGGTTGGGGTAGGGGAACAGAATCAAAGTCTGTACAGTACAAACATCATCACATCTATGGGAAGTCCACATAAACATAGCTGTACAAGTGTGTGTGTACTACTTTATATGATATAGAATTGTAACACAAGGGTAAATTGTACAATGACATGGGTATGACCAACTTGTACTATATAAAGGAGACTTACAAGGACATGATACATGTCTTCATTGTTCAAAATGCTTAAAAAAACGTAACTAACAGGGCCTTTTGACATCAATATTTGCTGTTTTATGTGAAGTTTGGATTTAGGGGTAGGGTTAGGACATATAATACGTTTTTTTTTTTTTTTTGCATTTGTGCATTATGCCCATGGAGAGTCCACATAAACCACATATACAAGTATGTGTGTGGAATGGGGGGATCTGCTCACCTTCTCCTGAACTGGTAGAGAGTGTATCCCACCCACAGTGTGCCCATCATGAGCAGCAGGCAGAGGAGCGGTCGTGCCCGTGTGCACAGAATGAAGGATTCTGGGAGAGATACGGGTCCGGCCTCGGTCTGGTTCAGCTCTCCTAAATGGACACTGCCGCTGATGCGGTTCAGCTCCGCCGCGCTCCCGTTGGCCAGAGTGGGGGCGTGATAATTATCGTGAAAGACTGTGGAAGAACATCTCAAGATCACCATTCATATACTGCAAAAGCAGGTCAAAATGAGTGTAGAGCATACAGTGTATGTGTGCCTAGAAGCAGTGTTTGCATTGTGTTACATATTTACATTTACATTACATGGACCTGTGTTTTTCTGAATAAATGTTAAAAAGAAACACTGACAAAAAAGAATTAGGTAATTCTCCTTTATAGACAAAATCACTTGGTTTGAAGTCAAACAACTGATAAACTTTACTACTAAAATTATTTTAGTAAATTTATATAACAATGAATAAAAACTTCAATATATTTAGTATTGTGGAATTATTCTTTGACTGCTTAAAAAGTGCAATATATTTAAGTTTAAAATCAACATTTACTATATATTTTATTATACAAAATATTATGCGTAACATTGTATAAAATACATTCGATTTAAGGATTTTCAAAGCATAACATCTTTTCTGCACAACATCTGTATTAAATAACTGGTTTAAACACGTTACATGTTATTATTCATTCATTCATTCATTCACTCATTCCAAATTCTGATCACAATTAATGACTGTTTAGTTATAGAAATTTTATGGAATTTTGTTTACTACTAATAGTATCAACCAATACTTTTTGCTCATATTTACGATTACTCAAAGAAAAAAATGATGTGATGATGTGTTTTTAGCAGGGAGTTTTCAGCCACTGGAAATTATCAACCAAACATAGCATTGTCAAGTTGACACACCAGGGGCCTCATGTATCAACGCTGCGTACGCACAAAAACTTTGCGTACGCCAGGTTTCACGCTCAGAATCGCTCACGTTTGGATTTACTAACAATGAACTGAACGTGGGAATGTGCGCAGGTTCACGGCAGCTTTCTGGCAGGCGTACGCACATTTTTTTGTGCGTGTCTGTTTTATTTCCATTGGTGACTCCTAGAGGCAGTTGTGTTAAATTCCTCTCTACAAAGTGTCTGAGCCTTGCAATGGCAGCTGTATGATACGGGTTCAGCAGGTATATAAGGTTTCCATACCATACATTTGACCAGCTAAACATTAAAGCACAATTTGCAGCAGTCGCCTGTTTTCCCAATGTAATCTGCACATTGCTATAAAGACACTATCTGAAGATGAATTTGCATGCGTAAATCAGAAACATTTCCATTCAATAAATGTGCAAATACAATATGATGCTTATTGATATGAACTTATTGATGATTCCTACTTGTCTTTCTCGTGATAAATAGTTGGCAAAATCTGATATGTAGCGGGGGAAAAAACAAGAAAGAGTTCATCAGACGCTGGATTCGAGCCGAGTTCATGCTCGAACGTGTCAAGTCATGATCACATGCGTCTTACGAGTAGCGCCACTGAGACTGTTAAGCATCCTGCAACATTTTACAGATATAAACCACACTATTTCTTTTATTAATGCACTCAGTGCGATGTTCAGACCCAACTGTGTTAACCGCATCAGCTAAACTCTCCCACTCTATTCTCTACTCTACTCTATTAATCATTTTTTCTTTTGTTGTTAACTCCGAAGAACAAACTTGCAAATAACACCGCTTTTCTCCGGTCTACCTCCGAAAGCAGCACCTCCAATTCACATTCTGTTCAAAGTTTCTCTTTTTGCTTGCTTTTGCCATTGCTTTTTCGTTGGGTTTTGCCATTAGCATAGTCATTAGCATATTCATACGGGAGAGGAGGCAGGGAGGGGTTTTGTGCTCGTGCATGTTGCGCTCAGTTTCACGTTCATTTAGATGTACAAAAGAATATGCGTGAGATTCGGCGTACGCAGTGTTTCATACATCTGAATTTTTTTCTGCGTACGCACATTTACAGCTTTGTGCGTACGCAATGTTTTAGTAAGATTTCCACGCAAGTCTTCGTACATGAGGCCCCAGATGCGGAAAGCAGTGTGCTATAAAACCTATTTATTTTATTTTTTACATAAGCGCCTAAATGAATGCGGTAGTGGTGGAAAAACAGGTGGGAGGAAAAGTAATTGGGTGGAAGGAAAAAAAACTTTTTTTTTACATGTATGCATTCTCTCGCACACTTTTTCTAGCAAACTTTTGCATTCTCTCGCAAAGATTCTTGCCTGCCATAGTAAAGATGTTTGCCTTCCATCAAAACTTTTGAGATCCCTCACAAAGATATTTGAATTCATATATACAAAGGACAAATTCTACATTTACAATACAATGACCAAATTAATTTGGTAACAAGCTGTATTAATATACTAAGATTATTAATACTACTCATTACGGTAGTTATGCAATAAACAAAAATGTGTATGCAAGCTTCCAATGCAAACATGGTGCTTGTAATTTTTGTTGCATGAAAAAATATAATTGTACTATTATGTACATAATGAACATAATATTAGTCAGTATTATGTACTATTAAAAATACAGATACACTTTCAAAATCCTTGGTTTTTAGAAGAGCAGTCTTACAAACACAATAAAAAGATATACTCGTATTTTCAGAATTTGTTAATGTGTTAATTATTTATTTGAAATGAATTTCATTTAATTCAATTCTTTTATTTGTTAATGTGTTAATAAATTATCTAAAACAAATTGAATTTAATTCAGGTTTTTGATTTGTGGGACTGAATACAGTTTACTGTAGTACATAATATAATAAGTATTCAGTAGCATACTCTGGGTTCATGCTTGCCTGTACAAAGAATAGACCTATATTTTGAACAAAATGTTTATAGAATTTAGTTTTTTTAATAGGCTCATCAGTCTAGTCTATTTGGTATAAGAAGTGGCTTATATGAAATACTTATATTTTACCAAAAAATAAATAATAATAAAGCATGTTTAAAGACGTCTGGAAAAACCAAGTTTATTCAGAGGGAAGGGCAGATTGTATCTAAAACCTCTCTAAATAGACGGCAAGGCTGTACATCTGAAGGACAAGGTGAGTTTCATCTGAGAAATTGTATTAAGTAGCTGAGAAAACGATACAGGCTGAAAATTTCTATAACTGCTGGATTGAGGGACCGAATTATAGTGATCTATGTTGGTGGGAAAGAGGTGTGATTTAATAACTTGTATTTTCTGAGCAAAAACGTCAGAGAACTTTATGCACGTCCCCAGATTGATAACAGGAACAGAGCATTCACTGAATTAATAGGTTAAAAAAGAACTTTTGGCTTACTTGCACTTTTAGTAATCAAATTTGAAAAATATTTAGATTTAGCCCCATTGAACGAGTCTTGATATGAATTTAAGCAGACTTTTAAAATCTGGTAGGAAACCTGAAGCCCATCCCTTTTCTACCTGTGCTCAGCCCTTCTGCACTCTTGCCTGAGAATACGGGTAGATGAATTTAACCAGGGCTGAGGAATTGAACTGACCCTAGACCTCTTCGATTTAAGAGGAGCAACTTCATTTAAGGCAAAATGACAAGTCAGCAAGTTGTGCAGTGTCTGAACAAGATGGCAAAGAAGCAGCAGCATTTGAAAGAAACTTGGTGTAAGAATTAGAAAACTCAAGAGCAGAATTTGCGTGGAAAACACAAGAGAGATTTCCACCCATGTATTGGGCAGCACAAATGTCTTGATGCCTCAGACTGTTGATGTTGCCATCCACTCTGCCGATTTCTTGCACTCATACTGAATGTAACCCCAAACCATGATTTATCCTTTTACAAACTTGATTAATCTCTATTAAAATCTAGGGTCCTTGAAGGTCTTCTGCAGTATTTGTGATGATTGGAATGCAGTTCAACACATGATTCAGCAGAAATATCAACTTTCTGCCACTTTTCAAAATGATTCACTAGAAGTGAAGTTATTATTTTTTGCTCCTTAAACTGGGATCGATGACAAGAAAGTTGTTTGTGAAACAACTTTTACTGCTAAAACTGTTAATATTAAAACAATGGGCCCTATCATACACCCGGCGCAATGTGGTGCAAGGCGCGGCGCAATACTTGTTTGCTAGTTTCAGCTTGGCACAATAGTCGTTTTGAGGCGTTGCACCACGCTCTTTATGTAGCAAATGCATTTGCGCTCATATGTGCGCCCATAGGCGTTCTGGTCTAAAAAGAAAGGTGTTCTGAGGCGCACTGCAGGCGCGTTGCTATTTTGAGAAACTATAATAGATTTTTCATTAGACCAAAACAAACCCGGTCTAAACTCCAGCGCAGAGTTGTGCCTCGCTTACACACTGCTTAATCACCTACACACAAGATGTAGAGCAATACGCAAATATCTTTACATATGAAAAAATATTAAGGATATATATAGGATATAATACAAATATATATAGGATATAAATATAAAGGATAAAAATATTACAAAACATATTATTTTCTAGCCTACATAAATATGAAAAACCACAGTTTTTTTTTTTTTTTTGCCTTCTTCATCTCGGGAGGATTTTTCAGTTATTATTTCAGTTTTTTTATTATTAGCAGTATTATTTATTATATCCATATTTATATTTGTTTTATTAAAAACAAGCTTAGATTTGCCCACCTGCAGGTTTTAGACCATATGGGCACAGCATGTGTTTTAGGATATAACTCAGGTTTTTGAGCACACTTCTTTATTATTGTTCATTTATTTGTTTGCAGGAAATTAGAACTGAATTTAGAAATAGTTTTGAAAGAAATATTTGCGCTTAACAAACGAAATTAATTATTTATAGGCTAATTGATGTCTGTGCATAAAGGTTTTCTTATCCAAGAGCGAAAGTGAAAGTAGATCGATTATCTCTCATTCTTGCGCGGTAGATGCCCTGTTTAACTGTTTTCTGTAAAATAAAAAACGGTTAACCGTCCTGTAAATAGCAAATCCGCTTATGGCTCTTAAAGGGAATGGGAGATGAGACTCTGATTGGTTTATTCTCAAAACACACCTATAACTCATTAAGAAAATAAACTCAACCCTTTTAGACCATGCGCCACGGAGCAAAGCGGATTTTCCCGTCCTTAAATTAGCAAATATGGATTCTGACACGTCCTAAAAACGTTTGCGTCCTGCGCT